GTACGTGACGTTTCCGCCTAGACAAACACGTTTGTTCAAGCGTAGTTTTTATTGCGATAAAAAATGTTTTTATAACTTGCCAGGAATAAATTCTTTGACCCCGTTTTGTGTTTTCATCATAGAGTATCAGATGTTTAATTATTTTCTTTAGTGACGTTAACTTACGACTGACTTTAATACCATACTATAATACCTTTGGTTTATAATAAGTAGATAGGTACAAAGATTTCGGTGGATTTTAAAAACTGCACGAGCTTTTCTCGTACCGTTACTGTTACCGTTGATCGAGTCGTCTGACCAGTATTTTGTCTCTACCAGACACAAATCGAGCACTGTACTTTGTACTCTGCTTTGTGAGATAAACGGAACTTTTACTTCGCTACATAAATATTCAAGCTCACACTGAAATGTCGTTACTCAATACATACGTATTACTCTAAATATGAGCACAGCCCTTTCCTGTCCTCTTGGTGTTGCTTACAACCATTAGCGACGGTAATCACTCACCATCAGGTGGGCTGTTTTCTCGTCTGTTTACATAGAAATAATGAAACATTCTTTGTCAGTATTGAACATTTTTTTAAAGTGAAAATAGTCGTGCTAAATACTAAATCTATGAATATTTGATAACAGCGTTTTTTGTCTTCCGTTGTTGTAGTTTAATTTCTTCGATACATGCAAGACGATATCGGCTTATCAAGAACATAACGAAATAAAGTTGTTTTTAATTATTACACCGTTTATTTAGTACACTAGTTAAATAAACGTAACACTACTTAAACTAAAATTTCAATGTATTTGTAAAAGCTATGAGTAATAAAATCCAAAGTAATGAAAATTAAATATTTCTGTATTAATTTGTATATAAATGTAAATTTTTAAAGCAGGAGTATAGAATCTCGGGGGGAGGTATCTTTCGATTTATTACTCATGCTCGTTAATTAATATTGAGGGTTTTTGATATGCAAATAACATTAAACGATGAGACATGTGGCCGGTTTTTGTGTAGCCCGAAGTAGTGTCAGTGCAGCATGAAGCGGGTCACGCTAGAATTGCGTACCGAACTACTCTGCAACTGGGTCAACAGGGCATGGCTTGTTCGCGAGCCGTCTGACGTCGTCGCCACGTATTCTTAACTGATAACATTGATATAGAAGCGAACACTTCTGATATTATATTGTTGTTTTTATGCTATTTAACAAAATCCCTGAATTAATTTTGGTATTACGTGTACGTTTTAATCATCGGAATAATTGTTTTGCAAGCTTTTAAAGGCACTGTTAATTTGGCAACAAGTTACCGATTGCCCGGTTGCCTTCGTCACTTAACACACTATAATTGTACATCATGTTTCCAATTCTTGTATAGGTAGGTTGTTAGTCGCCTTGGCACACTTATTTAGTATCAACATTGCCTGACTTGAAATTATTTTCCAGTCTTAACTGATGCATTTTAGCTTATACATATTTATATAGCTCGTTAGTAATATAATTTACGAAATATGTATAATATAGACTTATAGATTAGATTTTTATTGAGGCCATAGTCATTCAAGCTTACGGCTTAACTGATGGTAAATAGTCACCGTCGCTAAACGACATCAGTAATGCCAAGGGCACAGCCAAGCCGCTGTTTATTGCTCTACATTAGATACTTGTGTTATAATTAGATGCTGGTGGTAAATGATAAATAAAAATTATTAACAATAAAGCACGTGTGTAAAAGAAACAGAATTTCTTCTAGTGTTTAACCAAAAACCGAAATTCGACCATCATTGACCATCATTGACCTCAATTTGTGAATTAATTTTATTCACTACGTTGTTACTTTTATACACATTATTAGTAGGGCTCTCCCACAGTTATGCCTTTTATTCTTTATTATTATTTTAATACAAATAAAACAAAATATTGCACTTTCTGTTACATATTACACTAACTAAACCATAGTCGTGGCTTATTAACAAACAAACAAAAAATGGTTGACAAACTAAAAAAGACAACTTTTTGTTTTAGCCTATTAATATAAAAATTATAATAATTATCTGTTTATTAGTTATGTCAGGTTTGTAGCAAAATAATAATTAGACTTGAGAATAAGCTGTTAAAATTTAACTATGAATTTTATGTCCTCAATACTCGTAATAGATTTACCATCATGTATTCTGAAAATATTCTAGAAGCTATAATCCATAAATTACATATTTGTAGGCGGTTTTGAGTGTTTTCAATTGATTATTTTCCTAAAAAGTTGTCTAAATCCTGAAAAATGGAGCAAGGTCTGGTTATGGTTTGGTGGTCGCAACTTATAATTTTCCTGTCGGGCAGCATTTGTTCGACTTTTATCTTGATGAAGCAGCGGGTTATAAAGCAATCGTCAGGTCTCAGTTTTTGAATGACGAGTTTTTCGAGCATCATCGTTTTTATAATGTTGTTTAAGGGCCTTTTGTAATCGTCGATGCCGAAGAGTTGTGAATTAACCCTTGGGCAAAACCTGCTGAATTTCTTGCCGGATCTCAGTGGTTCGCGATTCCAATCCGGTGGTAGATTCTGCGAAACACTGCTCTTGCTAAGGCCAGTGTTAGCACACACGTTAGGTTATTAGTCACAGTGTAGATGGAATAGCCCCTCAACCTTCCAGCGAATAGGTAGTGAAAAAACTATACTATAACTATACTATATTATTATATAAATACTACACTATATATAATACAATAAATAAATTTATACTTTATTTACGTCTAAAATTACTGGGAAATCAATAAATCCACAAGACGAGTCGACCGGACTCCATTCCCGCATAGTTCTAAAAGCATGCACCCCTGAATTGACACCCATGCTAACGCGTCAGTATCACCTCTCGTACAGCACCAAAAGGGTTCCTTTTTCCTGGCCGCCTCTGTCCATCTTATCCCCAAAAATCGGTCAGACCCCTTAGAGTTACAGACCTATCGCGATAACTTCCTTGCTTTCCATGGTGATGGAGCGAATCATAAACATCCAGCTCCTTAATTATCTTGACGATCACCAGCTGATCAGTGCGCTTTACAAAGCACAAGTCTGGCCTCATGTGGAGTACTGCTACCTCCTCTGGGCCGTAGCTCCCAAGTACCAGCTCCTTAAATTAACACATTGCAAATTCTGTGTTAAATTGAGGGCAAAAAGTAAAGGGTTATTGGACCTCAAACTATAATTATATCCCTTACAAGAAGGTTATTCCCAGGGCGAAGTCGGAGCACGTTGCTAGAATTGGCGAGCGACTGAAGAGCTATAGAATAATAAATATACAACTCCTGAAGTATCTCGAAGATCGCCAGCTGATTAGTGACCGACAGTACGGTTGCCGTCACGGTCTCTCAGCTGGCGATCTTCTTGTATATCTTTTTTACACCTTGCATTACATTATTGGAGATTTAGTAAAGATCCCTAATTAAAAAAAAAAGATTATAGCCTATGTCACTCGGGAATAGTGCAGCTTCCAAATAGTGCAAGAATTTTTAAAATCGGTTCAGTAGTTTCAGAGCCTATTCCATACAAACAAACAAACAAATCTTTCCTCTTTATAATATTAGTATAGATTACTTTGTATTTTTTTTACACCTTGCGTTACATTATTGGAGGTTTAGCAAGGATCCCTAATTTAAAAAAAAGATTATAGCCGCCTATGTCACTCGGGAATAGTGTAGCTTCCAAACAGTGAAAGAATTTTTAAAATCGGTTCAGTAGTTTCAGAGCCTATTCAATACAAACAAACAAATCTTTCCTCTTTATAATATTAGTATAGATAACATGGGAACTAGAGACCGATTATGCAAGTTAATCTCTGGTATGTATATAGTTATATTATTGTATATATATATATATATAACGCTTTAATATATAAAAAACCTAGGCCAAGAGCAAACAAACATTTTCGTCATACGAGGGCTTATGCGAATTAGGAATCTAACCTATAAAATACCAGAATCAGTATTAAGATAAGCATGACATGACTTGTTGAAACTAAAATGATGTGTCAACTATTTTTCTTGTCTTCATATTTTTACAATATGCGAGCATAATGTGTTCGACTGATTTCTGATTTCCTTATTGTAATATTCGAAGAACGCAGACCGTATCACATGCGTGATGAGAGTGCATTAAAATAATAAAGGAGATATGCGCTTGCGTTGGTCGGCGCTTTGCACCCCTGCGTGCTGCCCGGTCAATGACTCCCCCAAGTGCTAGTGTGAACGACCTTTGTACCACCATATTAGTTTTAATTGCAGGCACATAGTGCGGGAAATCGGATTCACAAAAAAAAAAAAATTGCTAATATTTCTGCAGGAGAGCAGTCCGTCGTTCTAGTTTGAAGGGTTTCTGGGATTGCTGTTAGTTAGTGATTGCTCTACTGATTGAGATTTCGATGTCACGATGTCGAAGCTAGTTTCAGATATGAAATAAATCAGTTGTGAAGTTTTTACCACGCATCATTCTTTAAAGCAACCAGTCAACGTTAATTCTGTATGTATTAAAATTTTACGATAGATTTTAAGTCGTCATATGATTTTCGTAGATTCTTAGCCTGGATCCAGTCTAAAATTTTCTTTTTGTTATTTAATATTAAATTACCTCTATGGTCTTTTGAGTTATTGCCAATGAATGAAGGGTGTTCAAATTATATCATAGTACTTTATACTGTATGCACTTTTTTGTTAGTAAAATAAAATTCCATCTGCAGAGTGCACCAGTGAGGAGTACGACCTTGTGGCGGGGCGCGGGCCTACCGACGCCTTTGGTGCTTTGTTTCGCGGTCGCGTTCCACTTTGTGTTAGCTCTCTCTTGTTACGCAAACCTGACGTTATGCATATTATATCCAATCTACGAACTAAGTTATACTGATTTCGATTTTTACAAAATTGCTGTTCAATCAATTCACTGAATCAATTGTGTCACCGTAGCGCGAGGTCGAATGTTTTATAAATTATGAAAGTAAAAAAAATAACTTTCGTTTTGTTTCAGTGTGTCCTTCAAAGGTCCTGACACAGAAGTAGCGATCGTATACTACCAACAAGGAAAACTGCTGTGCCGAACATAAGCCAGACGTAACTTGGCCTACATTTGAAAGTAAATTAGTGCGCATCGTGATCACCGCGGAGTACTGGAAAACTAAACGAGTGCAATATTAAAGTACTTTTAGTGCAATCAGACGTTAGACATTAGTGAAGTGTTTGAAACTTGTTGTTAAAGTGAAATTATAGTGGAACAATGGAGCGTGAATCAAATCCTATGGAAGCGCTTTGCCGATCGGGCTGCGGTTTCTACGGCAATCCCTCCACAGACGGACTTTGCTCAGTTTGCTTTAAGGTAAATATTGTAGTGCAATGTCTTCATAAGCTACTTTTCATGTTTCTTAGAATGTTATTTTCTTTTTTTTCATTAGATTCAAGCAGTACAAAAGCTTGTATCCTTGAAACGTTTTGCTTTACTGTGATGACGATTAAGATTTTGTCTGACCATTCTAGACAACAGGTGATAGGTTTAAGGTGATAGTTTAGATTTCGATATGCCAAAAAGTTTATTTTTATGAGGCGTGATTACAAAAAATGTGTTTTTTATATCAAAAGGGAAATTTTATATCACATTATTGTTAGATACATATTCTGATTATGTAAATAGTAAATATATTGTGTAAATAGTTAATTCGTTCATATTATTGTTAAAAGAAATTGTTCATTTCACATCTTAAACGTTTTTGTATTCTGCAACATTTTCGGCTATTAATATAAATGACCTCTTTAATTCCAGGAAGCGTTAAAGAAGAAACAACAGCCCCCCGCGACGACGCCGTCGGCTGTGTCTGCTCCCTTCGTAGCGTCCGCACCCACGCCACTGTCGGCCGCCGCGCCCACCGTGCCCAGCCTGCCCGCCTCGCCGCAGCCGCTTGCAGACGTGAGGCCGCACTTCTTTTGTATTTACACACGCACACACACACACACACACACACACACACACACACACACACACGCACGTACACACGCACGCACACAAACAAACGCGCGCGCGCACACACAAACCCACGCGCACGCACTCACACACACCGAACTCGGTGGCGCGCGAGACCCAACACTGTTACTGTCCAATTTGAGATATCTGGTCGAAGTTTCAGGCACGGGAATAATACCAGACCAGACATAAACAGTTTGATAGTACCAACCCATGCGGGCTTTCACAAGCTCTATCTTCAATATTAAAGGGAAAGTTAGGCATTAAAAGAAAGTGATGATAATATTTGACATGATGAATGTTGGAGAAGTAAAAGCAATTTCTCAACATTGCTGAGACCACAATCCATTTCTTTTGATTAATAGACAATCAGACTAGTTTCTTTGCCTTTCATTGAAGATCATTGTCATACTCTAGTAGTTAGAGTTAGTGCCAAAGACTTGTACCACAGGACTTGGGTTCGATTCCCGGTCGAAGTGAAAAAATCCTGGCCTTGGTGTTTTGGCACCCACAACTCGGGAGAAAATTATAGATCGGGGGCTAATAAATCAGAACCATTATTTATGTATTAGAATAATTTACCGCTGTAGAATATAAATAAAATGAAATGGTGTTAATTAAACTAGTAGATAATATGATATGAATGTGTAAGTGAGTACATTATATAGTTTGTGCTTTGCTTATAATAATATGAACAAGTAGCCCGTTACTTTGTCATGCGCCATTGAATTACAATCTTATCGAGTTATCCTGACTATCATGCAAATATTAATTGTACTTTTTTTAATAACTTTAAATGGCATTGTAAAAAAAATTTACTTATTGAAGTAATTTAGTTTTTATTAAATTATATAAAATCTGACATGTAAATAGACAAAGATACAGAAGAGTTTTAGTAAAACGGAAACGCAGTTCATTACCTTGATTGAAACTTATTAACATTGCAGTAATAAATTGCATATTTTGGGGTTGAACGGTTTGCAGGTAAGGCCAAATTTAGTTTCTGTTGATTCTTTACATTTATACTAAATATATTTATTAAAATCTTATTAATTAAGCACTGTGTTTTAAGAAATTGATTAAAAAAAACTATAAAAATAAATTCCTGCTGGTTATACGGCGTTTACGACACAAGCCAACATTTTGTAGTGTGGTTATGGCTCCAGAATGAAAAACTTCCTCGCAATACGCGCTGTTACCGCGACATTACTAATAAACCACAACGAAAAAAAATTATCGGATCTTTTGTTACAAGAGAGTCAACGAACGTGGATGATTACAAGAGAAATTATGATACAGGTGATAACTTGGAATGTAGATCGAAAAAAAGATGATTTGATTCTCTGAATGATGACATTATGTGAAATTATGGTGTAACCAAGTAAATAATAAAAAAATGTCTAAAGAAGACAGAGTAACAGTGTATCGTGATACCTCGTGACGTCCGAAAAATTCCGTGTCTAACACCAGTGAGGTAATGACAAAAATAAACAGCAAACAATAAGTAGAAAAGGGAAGAAAACCTCTTCAATGATATACTAAAAAGGATTCTAACTGATGGCGATGATGTAAATATGAAACTTGTAATGTTTTGGAGTAAGCTTTCTATTTCATTCACTCAGAAACAACTACAAGAGTCACGTTGGTTTGACAATTATGCTTAGGTTATATTGATTGAAGTAAGAAACTCTGTTTTGTATGCTCTCAAGAAATACTCAGCATTTTATGAAAACTGAGACAGGCGAAAATGCACTACACCTATTTATCTGTGGCGATTATTGACCTAAATACTAAATTTAATTACTACCGAATATATTTTTACTTACAATGGACGTTGTTCCTTTTCTGCCAATGTACCTTTTTTATCACTTAAAAATCATGCTTTTTTAATGAAATTTTCAATTCAAAGTAGCCATTGTTTTAAAACGATAACTTAGGCGTACATTGATAGTATTTTGACAGTACCCTAACCTTTCCTGAAATATCAATCGCTACAGTTTCATTACAATCCGATGGTTGGTATAGGAATGCATATATAGAACAAATATACAAATACATAAAGTCCAAAATATATTTTCAACCCCTAATACGCACACTTTTAGGGCTAAACATTTTAAAAAAAACTATACGTTTATTTCTAATCATAAGTAACCAAAATAGCATATAAAATTTAAAAAAAAAGCGGAATTCAATACAATCATTTATATGTAATGTAATTTACTGCTTTAGGAGGGAAGTTTCCCAATATATTTCTTCAGTAGATCCTAAAAACCTAAAAGGCATCAACAGCCCAAACTTCAAGTTTCGATCAATCAGGCGGAAAAACATATAAATAGAGAGAATAAGAAAAAAGGTTTCGAAAGTACATTCTTTTTGTTGCATTTCAAAATTACTGCGTCGTTTTGACAATTGTGTTTTGAAGTACAAACCTTTTTGACACATTTTAGACTTCTTTTCAGTTTTTTAAATAATTATATTACTAAAATATTGTAGTAATCAACACAAAAATGTAATGTAACACGTTTTATCTGTTAAACCCCAAACCAGTTGACGATGTTGTTGAACACGCGATGAGGGACACATCCGAGTCGTGATCGGTAACATGTAACAATTGTTCATTCGTTAGGTAAATCATTAAATAAATATAAAGGCATTTCAAGGTACTTTTTTTTCGATCAAGATGTTAAATCTGGTAAATTACCAACTAATAATATATCTATAATGGAAAATGACCCTAACAAAAAAGAATCGAGGGGAAGAAGGCTATTCAAAAAAGTAATTCGTCGCAAAAGTAAATCCAGCGATGACGGTAAAAATTCTAAACTAGAACGAACAAACGAAGAAAGTGCATCAATTGAAAATAAAAGTGGCTCTGAAGATACCAATGACAGCTCTTCGCTCCGCAATGTAGATGGAACCGAAGGAGTAGATCCTCAGAAAATTAAATTAGATGACAAGTTGGAACTTTCACGAATCCGAACCGATTCCGTCCAAGAAGACGTGTTACGCATTCAAGATGATGAAGAAACCGAAGAGTACTCTTCAAAACATGTTCGACCCAATACGCAAACCGTTACTATAAAAGAATCTACAAACCAAATCCAAACAAGGAAAACAAGCTTGAAAAGGGTACGTGCCAGTGCCGAAAAAAACTAAGCATTATCTTAATCACGCTACTGAAATATTCCTTTTAACGCGTAACATTATTTCCATATTATATGGCTGGGAAATTCCCACTTCACCATAGACATTTATCCCTACTGATAACATTGTTCGTTTGAAATGTGAACTCAATTGTTTACGCACTGTACGAGGTATAGGTATGGAAAGTTCATATAGGTTTTTTAAATAAAAACTACAGGTTTTTTATATAAAAACTACATTATATAAAATTTCTAGTTTACAAAACAAGTTATCAAACTAATGAAGTAGGTACGTTTTATTCCTCACGTTTCTGCACAAAATCGAACGTCTCGATAAAAATAAGACGTGAACGAACTCTGCCAACAATAATAATTATAGCTAAAGTGAAATTATTGTTGTCAGAGGAATGAGTTCATCGACACGCACGCGTCGCTGACGCTGTTTCGTTGTTGTTTTCAGAAGTTAGAAGAGGAGAGCGCGGCCGGCACCAGCGCCGCCACGTCGGACAATGACGCCGATGACAAGGACACAAAGGATAAAAAGAAAAAGAACAGATGCGCTGTTTGCCGCAAGAAGGTTGGACTAACGGGTAATTGCATTTTATATTATGTTTTTTTTTTTCGATTAAATCGATTTTTGTCGCGAAGTAATCATGCGTTAGGTTTGGTTAGATTTTAAGGTTTTGGAGGATTGCAATAGGCGTAATTTCAATACAGCGACTAAACGAGGGAGCCACGGACGCTTCTATCCTTTCTAGATTTTGGAAAGTTTAACCTAATTTCCCTGCGTAAATAGATGGTATGAAATATTTGATGAGCCTGATCGATCGTGAACTATTTGAACTGATCTAAATAGTTAATCATAGATAATGACGCCTGGCACCAATTTAAAATAATTCAAGATTAATTGGTATCTAGTCGAATTGGGTGATATTTTCATTATCCGAGAACTTGCGTAGATATATTAGCGAATAATCGTATTGAAATTATATTTTATTTATAACAAAGATACAAGCCTTAGAATTCCATTACGATGATAACACTACGCTATTGTGTGCGAAATTAATTCATGCAATAGAATCAATGTAAAATCAATTTTATCCGATAGTGCTTGTGAGACATTGTCTATAAACAAATGGACTCATGCATATGAAATATTTTACGCTAAATAACGACAAGATGTTTTTGATATTCTCTATAAATATGGAGAACAAAGATGTGCATAATGCTGCTGCAGATAGCAATTGATCCATTTCACTCATTTCAATTCTACTGTGTTGGTTTTGTACCTATCTGCGTATCTTATAATATTCATGTGACTAGACAATATATTTTCAACTTAAAAGCCATTACAATATTTTTCTTTTATATGTGTTTATCTACCGATAACATGGAAAAAATTCTAACTTAAGCTGTTGTTTGTGCTGGATCATTTTTGAAATATCGAAAATCGCTACATAGGGCATATAATAGGAGTGGGTGATATAAATCGTATATAGATTCAATATCTATATATCGCAGCAATATCGTTGAATCCGATATCGCCCCGCACGAAATCTATATATCGATATCAGCCGATACACGATATTGCTCGATGCGATGCGCATCGGCATATCGTACCGATTCGTGAATCGAAATCTATATTTCGATATCAGCCGATACACGATATTGCTCGATGTGATGCGCATCGGCATATCGTACCGATTCGTGAATATCAGCAATATTCGTTTCGTTCGAATCAAATCGGCCAGAGTGAGTGAGCGCACGATAGGGATATCATATTGTGATGAATGAAACAGAAACAGGCATTATCCATACAATTGTAAACCTTATATTTAAGTCCATATGTCTGTAGATTATTCTTAGCGTATCAGCAGGATACAATTTAGGAAAGAAGTTTCAACTTTCGACCCTAATTTGAATGCAGTATAGCCTATTTGCATCGTTTAATTTAATTTCACGCGCTTTGACTTTGAACTAGAATTTTTGGACAAGTGTTTAGAAATACTTAAAAGTTTTTTGTGTTTGATTTTTAAAGTACACATTTTTCTATTTTTAGGTGAATCCAAATAATTGAGTTTATTTCTTGTGTTTGTAGTAAACTTTTGAAATCTACACTCTTTTGGTATATTTTGTAATTTTAAATTAAGACACAAAATACTAAAAACTGAAAATAATGTAGCCAGTCCTAAGCCTGGTAAAAGCATGAAGGAAAGTTTTTTTGATATTTTTATTTTCATGTTCTTTTTATTACTTTAAAATCATATTATAAATTGATATCAGAAAACCAACCATATAACGTTGACTTAAATCTATATCTACTACGATATTATATCAGCGTATCGTTTCAAATCTCAAATATCATGAATCGAGAAAATCTACTAGCATCCATCAATATATAGATTCAGAAAATATATAGATTCAATATCCGATATTGATNTATTTTCATGTTCTTTTTATTACTTTAAAATCATATTATAAATTGATATCAGAAAACCAACCATATAACGTTGACTTAAATCTATATCTACTACGATATTATATCAGCGTATCGTTTCAAATCTCAAATATCATGAATCGAGAAAATCTACTAGCATCCATCAATATATAGATTCAGAAAATATATAGATTCAATATCCGATATTGATACTCAATATATAGATACGGTTCGATACGCGGCAAAACCGATATTACCCACTCCTAGCATATAAGGAACATTGCAACGAATTTTAAATCTTGATGTCAGGGGTTGTTCTGATTTAATTTTTTACAAAAACTTGTTTTTTTTTTGAGATCAAAGTCGAGGCTGAAGTTTATAATTTTGTAATTTATTTGAAAATAATAAGATCATCTTTTTTTAGATCTCTGGATGGTGGGTGATTTTTAAATCAATTATATAGAGGAATTTTAAACTCAAAACATTATCGAAATGAAAACCTATAAAACATTGAAACAAACAGCTTAGTCTGTATATTATCTGTCATAGGCCAAGTAATACAGGGCGTTGTGCTGTTTTACTTAATTTAAAATAGTCCTCGTTTAGGAAAAGCAATAAAATGAATGGACAAGCTATCATGACTGACGTTCATAAATCGTCTTCTCGCATTAAAACTGTATAATCTCAAAACTTACTAATTTTGCAGGAGAGTGTTTTAAAGGTTTAACATATTGTAATATTTTTAATATTAATCATCTTTGTAACATTTATTTTTTTATTTTTTACCAGTTACATTATCTGTTTTTTAAAGTAAAATTAAGTATTAATTTTGTTAATAGTATGTCAAAATATAGGTAAATAAAAAAAAAAAAACTAAAATTAAACTACGCTCTTTTGACAGTATTTATGAGAAAAATACTGGTGATACCAAATGATTCCCATATTAGCTCAATTTCGAATATTTTTGGAAATTGTACACTTTTAATGCAAAAAGACGTAATGTGGTTGAATGACTGGTAATTGTTTTGGGCGCAGGGTTCGAGTGTCGATGCGGCGGGCTGTTCTGCGCCGTGCACCGGTACAGCGACAAGCACGAGTGCTCGTTCGACTACCGAGAGCTCGGCGCGCAGGAGATCCGCCGCAACAACCCCGTCGTCGTCAGCCAGAAGATACACAAGATATGAGCCGCGTCCCGAGCCGCACCGCCGCATCCTCCACTCCTCAATAAATGTTCGATCGAGTCTGTGTTTCTCATTCGCGAGCCCGGTCGTGTAGCGCACGTGACCTGACGTCATCAGTCTACGACTTTCTAAAAGTCTGAAATGCAGACTCGATCCGTCGTCCGTTTAGATTTAATCAGTGGCGAGTTTACTTTAAATTGTTTAAATAAAAGCCGCAGACTAAGCGCGTTGCGGCCGCGAGTTCGGGATTTTATTTTACGAGGTCATCAGTAGAGTTGCGAATGTTGTCCGTTCACCTCCATTGTAAATATTAGTGGTAATTAATTATAGAGACGAATCCTATATATTGTAAAAAAAAATAAAACTTCAAAAAAAGCTATGACACGCTACGTTTTTGGAGGAGAGCATAGCGTGGTCGCGGGGTCGTGAGGATCGCGGGCCGGCGCCCTATTGACTCGTGTTCACTGTTGGCGAACACTCGACCGCGCCGGCCGCCCACCACACCGGATGGTTCAACTTTACGTCAACTTCTTATTATTAGTGCTGTAATTACGGTTTGGGAACTTGTCGCTTTATTATCGTAACATTTGGCGTGAGTGATATAGCGTGTAGCGAGATTGTTGTGTACCGGCGTGAGGAGAGCGCGCGAGCGACCCGCTCTGCTCGTGTGAAAATTTTAAGTAAGCATATGAATAGTTATACATATTATAAGTAGTCGACACTTTATATTATTACACCTTATATAAGTAGGAAAGAATTATTTAGCTTTTTTTTTCTTTTAATCACAATATTATTCAAAATTGTAAGTTGTATGTAATGTTGTTCATTTTAGTGGTGAAGTTGGAACCGACATAGTTATCGTATCGCTTCGGTCTCGTGCCCACGGTAGACTAACTGATTGGTTGAACTTAATTATTTAATGACTTTTGTTGTATATTTTGTTAGGTCATTGATTAATTTTGGTCTTCGCTTTCGAACATAATCAGATAATGTTAATGATGAATAATTTTTCTTCTATCTTGCTGTTTTAATTTAGTTATTCTTGTATTAAAGTCATTAAATTTTCAGGAACATATAACTTGTTTTATTGACTATGCATTTATAAAATTGAATCAAACTGGATTTGGGTTTTAACGAATACAAATAGATATTTAAAAAAACGATTTAATTTCAAAACAAGATTCACATGTTGTTCATAAATATAACAGATCGGATAATAACATGTACTTTTAGGTTAGGAATATTGTGTTCTTTTTTTTATAATAAATATAACAGATTAGATAAAATCATTTGCTACCTTTGACTTAACTACAATATTTATTGTCTTGCATTTGTACTTTAATCAATTTCTTAAATAACTAAATTTAATATTAGAATTCAAAAAACGAAAACATGTCCGAAAATAAATATCATGACTAGCAAGAGCTAACAATTGGGTAGTAAAAATTATATATCTAAAGCTACAACGTCAACTTTCCCACTCAATTCTGTTTCGATATCTCAAACATAACAAAAGCTACCAGCAAACAAATGTTTATTTCGTTTACTACAAGTTTTAAGTTTTTTAAATTCTTAACGACGTTGATGCTATCTTTAGTTGGATGTGTAAAGAATTTAAATCTCGGTGACCTCTCGGATCCAGTCCCTCGCTCTGGAGACCCTGGAGAAGACGACAAGGTTTCCGTTGCGGCACTCAAAAGCGTCATTTTCCACCCACGACGCCACCCCCACCAGCCGCCCCTCGCCGTCCACGAGCCCGCTGCCACTATCACCCTGGAAGTGCAATTACATATGTTACTAGAGGACCCATGGACATACTATCCTGTGTGCTTCGTGCGAGTTTCTTAACGTTCTCGATAGCGTAAAAGTTAACGCAATTTTGTATGCAGTTGGAACAGCGCCCCTAGCGGCAAACGTATGCGAACGATCTCATTTCATACAAATATGAGCTAACTTTTACGCTATCGAGAACGTTAAAAAACTTGCACTAAGCAAACTGTAAAGAAAAAATATCACGTTTGCAAAGTAGCCAATTTGCTTGAATTCTCTAGGTAACCCACAAAACAAAACCATCAAAATTATTCCAGTCGAGACAACTCTAACAAACGAGTATGAATTATACAGAGTGTCCCACAATAACTATATCAAGCCGAAACATGGCCATAGTATAAACAATGTAGATTATATTAAAAACATTTAAGTCGTAATTGCTTAGTAAATTAATGAAATCATTTATTTTAACAGTTTGAACTGTTCAATGTCAGCCCTGAATTAACAAAAGTGTCGTTCGACTGTTCCGTTTCCTAAAACCCGTCAGAATGACAGACAATAACAAACTCGTTTCAATTAATTTAAAACAGTGAATACGACGAAAATATAGCCATATGCTAAGCACGTAAGGCTCATAAACGCAAAACAAATTTCAAGCGATTTAACGCTGATGCTACTAAATTTCACCTTTGCTGGAAAGACAAAAGAAGTTGTTATGCCGACAGTTTGAAGTCGTCGTGGCCTAAAGGATAAGACGTCCAGTGCATACGTATCGAGCGATGCACCGGTATTCGAATCCTGCAGGCGGGTACCAATTTTTCTAATGAAATACGTACTTAACAAATGTTCACGATTGACTTCCACTGTGAAGGAACAACATCGTGTCATAAAAATTAAACCCGCAAAATTATAATTTGCGTAATTACTGGTGGTAGGACCTCTTTTTAGTCCGTATAGCCTTGTTCGGACTAGGCGAGTAGTTTAGTCGAGTACCGAGTAATTTAGTAGCTAAATGTGTCTGACACCAAAAATTTAGTCGAGTAGGTTAGTAAATAATTTAGTAAAGTCAATCCATTTTGTTCTATTTTTATCTAGAAGTCGTCGTGGCCTAACGGATAAGACATCCGATACATTTGTGTTGAGTGATGCACCGCTGTTCGAATCTCAGGCGGGTACCAATTTTTCTAATGAAATACGTACTCAACAAATGTTCACGATTGACTTCCACGATGAAGGAATAACATCGTGTAATAAAAATGAAACCCGCAAAGTTATATTTTGTGTAATTACTGGTGGTAGGACCTCTTGTGAGTCCGCGCGGGTGGGTACCACCACTCTGCCTATTTCTGCCGTGAAGTAGTAATGCGTTTCGGTTTGAAGGATTGGGCAGCCGTTGTAACTATATTTGAGACCTTAGAACTTATTCTCAAGATGGGTGGCGCATTTACGTTGTGGATGTCTATGGGCTCTATGGCTCCAGTAACCACTTAACACCAGGTGGGCTGTGAGCTCGTCCACCCATATAAGCAATAAAAAAAAAAAATCAGGCGAGTAGCGCCTCCCACCACGCGTCCTTGCTCACTGGCTCACTGACTAAACAAGTCCGAATCTGTTGATTAGTCGAGTTCATTAGTAACACTTCTCAAATGGGTATCTTTGTGCATTTGATGATGGTTTGAGAATGTGCTTTGGACATTCCCAAACTATCGAAGTATTCTTTGCGATCTCTTCCAATGCTAATTCCTTCAGAAGACATTTAGTAGCTCCTAGTTTATTTCTTTTATTGATCCATTTTCGTACCCATAAAATTATTTTTCTTAATCAGAGAAATTTCCTCACTTCTAAAATAGCCATTACGATTAGCTTAATCAGTTTATTCACTCTATTGCGTTGCAGCTTGTTCATCTTGCAAAACACCACTCACTTGTGTACTCTACTGGACCGTAATGCGAACGATTCCTGTGAATTACTCGGTACTCGACTAAAATACTCGCCTAGTCTGAACAAGGCTTATGGGTAAGTACCACCACCTTGCCTATTTCTACCGTGAAGCAGTAATGCATTTCGGTTTGAAGGGTGGGGCAGCCGTTATAACTACTGAGACCTTAGAACTTATCTCAAGGTGGGTGGCGCATTTACGTTATAGATGTCTATGGGCTTCAGTAACCACTTAACTCCAGGTGGGCTGCGAACTCGTCAACTCATCTAAGCTAAAAAACAGCCTGAACGGACATAGATAATACACAGCGGCGCTGGTGTAGTCCGTCAAAGGGCCGAGACTTTGCGACAATTTTGTTTTGAAGCGGAGCTCGAACTATTTTATTTTACTTCTGTACATTAGTTAGGGAGTATCCTACCTAATAAGGGGTATCCTACCGGAACTTGTACATATCATACCGCGAATAGCAACATCTACTTTGAAACATGAGATTGAAATCCAGTCTTCTAATCCTATGTTTGAAACAAAGATTTTTTTTCTCCTACCTATTCTAGTAACCTCGAGGGGCTATTCTAGATTCACCGAACTAGTAGGTGAGCTCGTGGGGCTCAAACCGGGAGTGTTGCTAACACTGGCCCTAGCAAGAGCAGTGCTTCGCTGAATCTACCGCCGCATCGGAAACGCGACCCACTGAGAAGATCCGGCGAGAAACTCAGTGGGCTGTTGTCTGTGGATTAATTTACTCGAATCCTCCAAGCAGACATGCTTTTCGGTTTAAACGGTGGAGCACGGAGCCGTTGTACTGAAAACTGAGACTTAGGTACAACTCATACATCAAGGTGGGTGGCGGCATTTACGTCATGGATGAGTATGGGCTTCCGGTAATCATTTAACACCATACCTGCACCTGCACTATAATCAATTTAGCAATAAAAAATAAAAGCTATCTACAGTTTCCGGCTTGAGCTATTCTTTGTGGCACACCCGATATAATCGAATAGTTTAACAATGTATATGAGTTTTGTCGTAAGTTTAGGGACGGTGATGATATATGAATGCCCATAAAATTGTATGACGTTGACATTGTAGCAAGTAAAAAGGTTACTACCACAACTAGGTAGACACTAGACATACTTCAACCTATTTGGAGGAAGAAGAAAAAGAAAAGGAAGAATGAAAGATGACAGGATTTTTGGCGCGAAGAACAAAGTTGTCTGAATTCTTTACATTTTTAATGTAGTGTTTCTTTTGAGTTTGTTAAACGTGGAAATGCACAAATGTGCGAAAATGAAACAAAGTCGCTAGCACGTAGCTTCTTGGGATCTTCTAAAAACTTCACAGAAAAAGTCAAGTAAATAACCACCATTTTACTGAGACTATATTTCATCTCATATCATTTCGTTTCATTTCATTTCATCCCGATTGATTAATGTTTCAAAATAATCACCTTCATTCTAAATCCTAAATAATTCTTCTTTTCATAAAAATAAAATATTAGGTTGTATGATGTGGCACGTTAGATTTTTCAGTTGGAACTACTGCTGAAAGAGTACAGTAATAAAATAAATAGAGAAGAAAAAAACATGTAATAGATTTTTAAAAAACTAATTGAGGTATTAATATACATAAATACTTAATAGAAAAGTTAATTGAAGCGATCCTACATGAAATGTTTTTTTTCCTACCTATGCTTGAGCCTTGAGAGGCTATATCAGCGTCGTCCTAACGTGTAGGTGAGCTCACGGGGCTCAAACCGGAGTGTTGCTAACACTGGCCATAGCAAGAGCAGTGCTTCACAGAATTTACCACCGGATCGGAAACGCGACCCACTGAGAAGATCTGGCGAGAAACTCAGTAGGCTGTGTCTGTGGGTTGAAATGTCTCCAATGTGAATCGAAATGATTAACGGTTTTCAACGATCTTCATTAAATTTCTGGGAACTTGAATAGTTTTTCACCTACGAATGCTCTTTGCCAGAATCTAACACTTATTAAAAATAGTAGTTACCTTTTATTATTGGTTGTGGTGTAACGAAAATAGCACGAAGAACAATACGCAAACAGCGAATATTCAAATAATTTGTTTGTGAAAGTGTTGCTAATGGACTTAGAGCTCTCGTTACCAAGCCATAAAATCTTCAAAAAAAGTGTTGCTAACGCTACCTACTTAAAATGAAACGAATGAACAAACTAGTTTCTTTGGAACTCTCAACTATTTTTTTCACGTGATGACCAGTTTCTCAGTTGTCTTAGGTTCTACGTCGCGGGTGCAATGATCCGACAATGTTACCTTAATAAGCAATGACGTTTTGCTTGGAGCTTTTCATAGGTCCTAGATATTATTAGAGGAATTATAACGTTTGCTTGCGATTGTTAACAAAATACTCAAATTAATCAACTGCTTAATCAATAATGCTGTTAGACATTATTGTGCTTTAGAATTTGAACAGGACTTACATTGCAAGCAGAGTCGAACCGTGGGGGGCGACCTTTAGCGCAGATCATATCCAGAGAGTTGTATTGCTCTAATTTAGAACATACTTCGTCGGACTGCGTTGATAGCTCCATGGCGTGCATATCTTTACGCATCACGCCCTGGAAAAGTGAAATAAGAGGTTTTAAAAACCGTCCGATCAACTACAAGTATTTCAGTGTGTTCTGATTACCCAAGTACCTATTATCAAATTTAAAAAGAGGCAGCCGTTAATGCTGATTGCCCAGCGCATAAAAACGGCCCTTCCCGCGTGATGCTTTGGGTATGCGACGAAGAAAGGATAAGGAATGAAATGTTTGCAATCATTAATGGTATTATCCATGACACTTCGGCATAGCGAACGATATCGGTATTTAAGTCTTCGTGATCTAAAGTATAAGACGTTTGGTGTACGCATGGATTTACCAATATTTCTAGTGGTTTTCGAGATTAACGAATAACATCATATAATAAAAACGAAATATACAAACAAATATATTATAACTTGCGTAATTACTGTACAAAGACCTTAAATTTTAAGATATGGGTTGTGATATCTATGGGTTCCGGTAACCGTTCAACATCATGTGGGCTGTGGCTGGGACTCTTGCGTCAAAACAATAAAAAATCATAAAAGGTTAAATAAAACTAACCCCATGCTCGTCAGTTCCGTAGCCAGCATATCCGACGTCGACTCCGATTGGTAGATTTGGCTGATCATCGAGTGTTGCAACTTTTATCGTTTTGCCGTCCACGGGTAAGGGCTCCTCCAATTCGACCAGTAAAAAGTCCCACCTAGCTGCTACCTGTAAAACAACAGAGTTTTCTTTTGACCGACGCATATTATTTGCGTTAGTCAACTTAGTAATATCGTACAAATTTGAATTATAAAATATGTATATAAATATTTATGTAAAGTAAATTTTGTTTTTACGGTATTTCTACATTCTAATCGCGTTTTGTATGTTAGGTATATATATGAGCTCCATTGATCAGTTAACACAAGGAGGCCACTGAGCTAGTCTGTCAACTTAGCATAGTAAAAATGTCTCACAATTTGTTGCTTGCAAACCTTTAACAGTTAGTTTGTAGGATTAAAACCGAATACTTTGTTGAGTTCTTATTATAAATTTATAATATTCTACGTTAAAGTTCATCCTAGTTAATTTTTTTCTTTGTCCTCTTATGTCAGAATAAACTAAATTACCTGTTTAAGATTAAAATCTTCTACGTCAAGCCAGTATGGTCCAACAGAGAAGAGCGGGTGGATGACCATTCGTTTCACGTAGCGAATAATGCCGCTTTGGTCGTCTGATTTGTTAGTACCGGCCAATACGTAATGACCGTTCGTGAACAGTGTGCTAAAATCAGAAATAGTGTCATCATAACCACTAGGTAGTCGGTAGGATTATCTCAGCACGGTTTAGTTCTAAATTAAGTCTAATATCAAAATATCAATTTGATCATACAACAACACTAGGTAGCATTTTTTTATCTAAATGTGGTTAATAAAACAAAAACATTAGATAAACTGTGGAGTCAATGACGTAATATGTTTTTTAATGAAAACCAATTTTTTATGAAATAGTTGAGAAGACAACATTATAATTTCGAAGAATAACACTTTAGAGGTCGTGATGTTGGGAAACCAAAGTGTTCGACTATTATCAGAAGTTATAAGATTAAAATAAAAAAATAAAAACGTAAAATAAGATTAAAATAAAATCAAGTGATTAAACGTACTAAAGTACCACATAATAAAATACGTTGATTTTATGAATATAAAAAATAGTAGGTATTATTATTATTAGTTTTACCACTTTACACCAGGTAGGCCGCACTCGTGTAAGCAGTAAAAGAAATAATTTGATGAATTGGAACGAAGATGAGGATTAATCAGACAAAGAATGTAAAAATGGAGAATTACGTTATCAGGATCTAGGAACTTTGTTTGGTTATGATGAAGTAGATAAAACCGTTTGATATCATGTGATCAGAAAGTAGAATATCATATATTAATAGTGTAAAAATGTGGCGAACATAATGAGTGAAGAATGACTAATATTTTTTTATCTTTGACAAGAATGCTCCTTCGATATTCAAGTTGTAAATTGGAATGTTCTTGCCAAAAAGTTTTGTTACGCCCTCGTATAAGACATGCAACAAAATTCAGATTTTTTAAATATTTCTATAACAATATGGTTACATAATATTCGATGTCTTTAATTTTCATAATGTAATATGAAATACAAATGATAAATTGGTTCAAAGCAAAGGACGCTCACCTGTTATTGTGTGATAACAATAATTCATTAATGGACAATTTTTGGGCTACGGTTGAAATCACAATCTAATTTACCTTGTGATTGTGTTGATACCTCATTAGAATTATGACGTCATATCGTGGAGGTTGCGGAATTATTTTCTAATGAAATTACGCGTAGTTAGTTCTAGTATTAAAGCAACGTTTGCTTTTGCATCAAAGCAGGCTTATTTGATTCGATTACTAGTGAGTGTCATCTGACTACCTACCAAATGTGAAACTTTCGTGTACTGTGGTAAATGAGTTTTAAAAGGCATTGAAAGCTAATTTTTTAAAGGCATTGAATTTTGAACGACATATTGAAAATGTCGGCTTATTGAAAGAAATAACAGAATGATGATTGTAATAGATCCGTATAAAATATGAAAACGAAACACGAAACAATTCTAGAAATTTCCATTATTTCCTTTTTTATTACTATACAATCGTTTATTTTATCACGTACTTTCTGTATTTCTGTTAACTACATATTTATAAAATAAATTTGAAATATATTTACAAGGTTAGAATATTTGATAGCGGTTGATTTTTTGAACGGGTAACCTGAATACATACAATAGGATGTATTATTATAATTCGACACAATTTTATCCCCATTGTCAGTGGGTAAGTGTGATTATCGTCCACTAACAGTTTCTGCACCGGTACCTACATGCCTATTGGCTGTAATATAAGTACTAAAATAGAAAGAATCTTCAGTTTACAAGTGAAGATGACAAGTTCTTCAATAGAGTCTCGAATAGCTACTTATCGACCGACTACACTTAGTACTCGTGATTAATCAACTCAGGTTGGTCAGATTATCATTCTGAAAATCCTGTGTTTACTTTTAGACTAAAGTCTTCAGATTGTCGTTTCCATATTCCACGAATGTGACTTATGCTTACCAAAAGGTTATCGCTCTCGGTCAGGGCTATACGATAAGTACCTACTGATTACGTTGAAATAGTAAAATGGAAGAAATACATCACTACATTTGTCTAAAAAGCAGTTATGCCTATAAATAAACAATTTAATTATAGGTATAAATTTGAATTAAGTACATTTAAGTTTTGGTGAACCTGTATGTAGCAGTGATTGTGGAAAAGGAATATTCTATCAAAAAATAAATGATTTTCCTGCTCTATTCACAAAAAAATAAATATTTATTCTTAATAGTTAACTTTGTACTATAGAAGATTATGCAAAAAACTCGTCAGCCTTGATTAACTTTGACTTACACAGCTAAGGATTGCATCTTTGACTACAATGATGAGGAAAAACGAATGTTTCACCAACCAGAGTAAAGCCAGTGAAGGCTCGATTTCATATTGTCAAAAACAAAAACTATTCTGTCAAAAAACAGAAACTAGCACAAAGACATCGTCTTGTCCGACTTTTGAATGACGACTTAGTTTTTTTTGTAATTACCGCGTAATGTCTCATCGTTACAGCTACATATCCTACGTCCGTTTGTGCTTGAATGTTTAAGGTAGTAAATATCTTGTCATGTTTTGCAAACTGGTTTCTTTATTTTTTGTTTTGTTCTCTGACGGAAAAGGAAAACCCAAGTGACTTATGCATATTAATTGGCGGTGATGTTGTGCCTGGTCCGCATATCGATTACTATTGTAATCCTCCACACTTTACGGTGTAAAAATATTTATTGGCATGATTAATTTCTACTAATAGTACTATATTTTAAAATGATTTGAACAAAATGGACAATGTTACGAAACATTTGTACCTACAATGGTAATAATAATGCAAGATAAGCTTATTCATAAAATCTACAACTTTAAACAAAAAATGCTTTATTGGATAAAATTTAAATATTCGATTTTTGTCATTTATCGATTGAATGGATTTTCATGGTATTATTAGTAAATCAATTATTTATGGATTATTTGATTTTTAATTATAATTAAAATTTAGCCATTGAGAAGTGTCCTTATTAACTTTTAATATAAAACTTAAAGCTACTTCAATCCGAAGAATCATGAATCACGGTAAAATCACAATCGTTGGGTTACTGCTAGTACAATAAATATCGCTCCGAGGCCACGAGTATTAAATTTGACATATTAGTCATCTGTGCTCAAATCACCAAAACTGATTGAAATCGTATTCAATGGAGTTTTAACAGCGATTTGTAGAGAATTAATGATGTAATGCTGTCATATTTGATTCAGTAAAACGTTTTATTGATTTGGGTAAATGCTAGATTTTAATGAGTTAGATAGGTACTGTTGGTGGGTTTCAAATGTAATGTTTTTTTATTATTACCAAATGCGTATATCATTGCGTAAGTCTATTTCAATTGATTGTATTTTACGTAGCATTCAAAGATACAGGCCCTTAAAATTGATACATACATATAATAATATGTAAATGTACAATTTTAGTATTTACGCACGATATTAGTTTTCATTCCGATTCAAGCACACGTCGCGTGCGGACGTGCTTATTGACCGCTCGATCGCCCGACCTTGGTTCGTGGCACATCTGGCGTCCAAGTCTTTTGTCGGAATTAACTACCTGTGATAATAGATAATCGTGACGTGAGAATCGTAATCGTTCGTTGAAATTCGTTGAACGTACCCGTCACCCCGATGGAAGTTAAATACTTGATCAAAGACCTACGTCCTCCCAAGGCTCTTGGTTCAGATGGTATTTCTATCGCGTTATTAAACTTCTACCCATCCAACTCATCGTGATGTTGATATCTATTTTCAATGTTTTCAATGTCGCTATGACGAACTGTATCTTTCCCATCGTGTGGAAAGAAGCGACCGTTGTCGGCATAGGTAAATAAGCCCGGTAAACCCAAAAATCATCCGACGAGCTACCGCCTGATTAGCCCCCTCATGTCTCTCGGCAAACTGTATATAGCAAGCGTTTGCTCTACAAGCTCCTTAGAAGCCTCTTCTCATCCAAGGGCATTCTCGTCGATGAACAATTCGGATTCCACGCAAATCACTCATGCGTACAACAGGTGCACCGCTACACGGAGCATATTCTCATAGGGCTGAACCAACCTAAACTGTTATACACGGGAGCCCTATGTCGCAAAAGTATTTGATTTTATTTTCAAATATTTTTCAACATGGGCATGGCGGACAGTCTCGTGTTCATCATACGGGATTTCTTGTCGAACCGCTCTTTTCGATATTGACTTGAGGGATCCCGCTCCTCACCGCGACCACTCACAGCTGGAGCCCCACAAGGCTCTGTCCTCTCGCCGCTCTTGTTTAGTTTATTCATCAACGACATTCCCCAGTCGACGCCGACCCAGTTAGCCTTATTCACCGACGACACAACCGTTTACTACTTTAGTAGGAATAAGTCCACTATGGCGAGTAAACTTCAGAGTGCAGCCGTGACCCTCGGACAGTAGTTCCGAAAATGGCGCATAGACATCAACTCAGTGAAAAGCACAGTGGTGCTATTTCAAAGGGGAAACTCTATACGAATTTCCTCCCGTACTAGGAGGAGAAATCTTACAGCCCCGATCGTCCTCTTTGGCCAACCTATTACCTGACCCAGGAAGGTGAAGAACCTGGGAGTCACCCTGGATGCATCCATGACATTCCGACCGCATATTAAAACAGTTCGCGACCGTGCTGCGTTTATTCTCGGCAGACTTTACCCCATGATATGTAAACCATCCATCAAATTTTTAAAGGTACCTATTTTTGTTTAACGCCAGGCCACTAGGCTTGTCTACAGATTGAGTGCAATAAATAATAAATAAATGAAATATATTCATCATAAAAAACAATAATAGGTGATCGTGAATTTATGAAACAAGTTGCGAGTTCACTTACGTAAAAAATACATTCCTACAATGCTCTAGAATAATTTGTTAATTCATCGTTAGGTAAGTAATTACTTTAATGCGTGAATGATTTTCAAATTAAAATGATTGCAAAACAAGGTGAAGTATCAATACAGAGTGTAAATAACCTCAAAAAATATTCCTTTGCTAATTTGAGAACATTATAGTCGTTGATTATATAGTTGATGATTATACCGGCGATATTTCGCGAACTCGCACTCTGAAGCCTAAAGTAATTGTTTTCTCGAAACATTTATGAGGTTGGACCCGCACATCAGCTGGTTTTTTATTGTGTTACATTGCATGCAGTAGTAAAATAATATTTTATACAATTTATATTTATATATATTTTTACTGGTGGTAGGACCTCTTGTGAGTCCGTACGGGTAGGTACCACCACCCTGCCTATTTCTGCCGTGAAGCAGTAATGCGTTTCGGTTTGAAGGGTGCGGCAGCCGTCGTAACTATACTTGAGACCTTAGAACTTATATCTCAAGGTGGTTGGCGCATTTACGTTATAGATGTCTATGGGCTCCAGTAACCGCTTAACACCTGGTGGACTGTGAGCTCGTGCACCCTAAGCTAAAAAAAAATATAATAATTATGAAGTCAAAATTCAGTGCACTCCCCCCTGACTTCGTATTAGAAGAGGGTTACCATATGGTTAGATAATTAACATACCAGTGTCCCGCAGTGAGGATCCATTTCGGGCTAATAATGGAACCTCCACAGGTACCACCGAAAAGAACGGCATGTGGAAACCTTTCGTGTACTGCTTTCACATCAGACTGTGTCTTTGTAATTTCAGTTGTTACCAGCGCAGCTGAAAATGAAAGGGTCAAGTTAAAAAACAATCTCAGTCAACCAGTGTCACGAATGCGAAATACTCGTCGAATGCGACGAAGAGTTCGAAGTGCAACCTAACCCATAGACGCAACCCACGGAGTTTCTCATCGGATTATCTCACAGTGTTGAGACACACATTCCGAACCGGTGGTAGATTCGTATTCTTTGGTGGTAGATTTAATTTGAGGAATAATAATCCTAAATATTTCGGACAAACAGGCATAGTTTGGAATTTGAGTATATTAGGAGTGACAATATCTCAAAATGTATCTACGTAGTGTTATGGAATAAGCGGTTTCGGGTAAAAGAAATAGGTACTTTATTCCTTTACGATCTTTACCGAACACCGAAATCTTCTTTCAGTGTACTATGAGGTCAGTACTGTGACAAAAAGATAAGGCTTTAGGCTTGACGTACGCAACAAAAGATGTTTCCATTATATTATGTATGTATCTGCTAGTCTATTACACTATATTTACTACATCCACAATTTTCGAGTAGCTCATTCTTCACTTACGCTACTGCGTTCAGTTATTGGATGTATGATTATTCTAGACTATGACTACCTTAGTCAATTAATTAGTTTTATGGGGAGGATTAAATCGTTTAAATTGTACCCACTTCTCGGAAAATATGACAACGGCGTAAAACCAATAGTCCTCACAGCGCTGACTAATTACATACTATAAGTACGTAGTAGCAGGTAATCGTTTGAATAATATGAACTAATTCCAATGACTACATGACCGCTTATCGTGGCAATTGCTGTAAAGATCGAGTTTTTAACGATAAAAAAAATACTCCTATACAAATAATTGTCGTGAGCATTCAATGTACTTGCGTGTTCCCTTTCCGTTTATTGGCAAAGCACAAGTAAAAGCAATTATTTAAGCACATTTTATATATATTAATACGTCTATTGCAAATTATTTTTTATATTAATACGTATATCGTTCGTAAATTGAATATACAAAAAATAATACAATTAGCTGATGTTCTTTTTGGAAGTCAAAACTTCTCTAGTACCGTTATGATTTTAAACTCGATAAAACGGTAATAACAGAAAACAATGAAACTGATATGACACTAGAAAAGTAACAAGAACCAACAAAGATACCCAGAGGAAGGAATAAAACATAATATTATTTTGTATTTCTGAAGGTTTCACTTCTACTGAGTCTGAACTGCATACATGGTTTTAAAAATTGTTTATTGTCTGTTTATGGTTCGTCTGATGTGTGTGTTAATGGTTACCGTTACCAATACACGTTTTAAATCCAGCAGCATGACCAAAATGCTATATAACATTTTCGGTATGTATTATTTAGACGTTAACTAAAGCACAAAAACTTTTAGGAACAGAATACATTTCTTCTCTTACAAGACTAATAATAGTTAGTATTATTCAAGCGGCTATAAATGTTGTCTCAGCAAGCCTTATTACATTTTTATTAAAATTACACTAACGACCAACATAAAATACATATTATGCGGATTTATTTTTAAACATGTTGTTGCTTTATCGTCAAAAGTAAACGTGAACTCATGTTTATTGGTATACTGTTGTTTACGAAATTTTTTCATCTACCTACGTAAAGTTTGCTGCTTATGGCGTAGATAAGGTTACCTGTAGTATCTATAAGGTTCTAAATAGCTACCCGAAATAAAAAATAATCTTGCCTACCATCAAGACGCTCCCGTTTTTAATACGCTTTTATTAGCTTCAGTTCTCTTTAAGATTCTTCTTTACACAAGGAATTTTTTTGTTCTATACAAGTAACACTATTCGTGACCTAGTTTCATTATTTCAAAAGAAACAATTTCTGATAACAGCAACACAATATAAAATAAACTTGACACGAATGAGAGGTGGTTTTATTTTTTCGTATACTAATTTCTTTCCGTGATAGTGAAGTATTTTTCCCGAAAATAATTTGAAATGATATCGATATTCACACTGGCAAACTTCTTGATTCAGTGCTCACTTAAAAAGCGCCTAAGTAAAAGCAGTTGACAGCAAATTTAATAAAATTTAAAGACAAATCTAAAGCAAAACATCAAGATTTAAAAAAAAAACTCGATCACCGACGAAATTCATTGTTCCGCGTAACAACGATGATAATGATTTAATAGAAACACAACACAATAAATTCTTGATCGTGCACTGCTTAGGAAGCTAACATTGCCTAAATTAATGTAAAACAGGTAGTGAGACTTACATTTTTGTTTTAAATCCGGTATGTCATTGGCGCCGGGTTGAGGTAGCGCGCACGCACTTGCCGCCAGCGCGATCACCGCGAGAACCGACTGTTTGTTGGCGAACATCGTGCCACTGTCGTCCACCCGCACGATCGCTGCACTTTATATCACAACATACGACACGAGGAAATTCTTCTTCTCCAATGTCTCGTTAATGCTTTCGACAATTTTCTTATCGAATTAAGTAGCACTTATGCATATCTTCAAGGTGCATGTGACAAATTGTATGGAGTGTAAGTAATGATAAATTCCATTGTTTCTAAACAATTCTTTGTAATACTCGTAATAGTAGTGGACTCGAGATAAGACTAAAGTGGCACTTAGGCTCTTAAAAATCAATCATTATTCATGAAGAAAAGTGTAAAAATGAGTATTTAATTACAATTTTAATTGTATAGTAATAATTCATTAGACAAGTTTGAAAAGTTTTGGTTAATTTCTGTTTACTCGTATATTTTAAATAATTACGATAAAATAATTTTAGAAACGTATTTGGTACACCAAAAAAACTAGTTGTTAAATACAACAAACTATACACGTAATACTAAGTTATGACCTCAGCGGTTCATCAACGTCATCAGCCTGACCACTTCCTCTGCGGGATATAGACTTCCTCCAAGGTTTACCACAATTACCGATCCCACGCTGCTGCCATTCAGCGGAATTCCGCGACTTTCATGAAATCGTTGGTCTGCGCTTTCGGTGCGCGGTTGCCTCCCTAGAGCTTTTTGGCCTCAACCACCATTTGTTCTACGAGCAAAATACATGCTCACTGCTAATTCGCAATGCTATGTATATAGTTATAATGTAGTCTTTTTGTGAGTCGGGGAAGTAATTAATACTGCTTCAGGTATACTAGTATAATATTCAAATGTTGTCGTATAAGTCGTCCGTGACCACTAAATCTGTAAAATAAAAAATTCAAACGTCGGAAATATAATAGTATATAAAGACCATAAGAAAGATTAAGCCGCAAAAGTAGTTTTAATCGGTTACGTTTGTTCATCTGCGAATCTTTTCATTCCTGATTAGATCGCGCAGGTAAACTCCGAGTATAGGTTGCGTTTCTGAGTGACTGGGTATATTGATCAGGCCCATTGTGAGTAACAACATTTCAGACCCTCCCGGCTGAGTCCTCAAGTTCGCCCACTTAATTTTATTCCTACGTCGTGGAAATCATCCGTGAAGTGTCTTAAGTTCGTATTTCAGTAGAAAAATTGGTATCTGCCTGCGGGATATGAACACCGTTACAGTCCCAACGCTCGATACGAATTCACCCGGCGTCTTAACCTTTAGGTCAGGATAACTTCATATTTTATTAAAATTGTGTTGTGGGCTCATGCTCCGGTAATTCCTTATCACAAACGCGCAAAAATATTGTTCTTAAAATATCTCACCTTCATGTTCGATTACTCGCGTATATAACAGCCAGGCCAGGAGACTTGACCCCGTCGCTGCATAATAAACTCGTACAAAATAAAATATAGATAACAAAATGCGGGCTCTGTCTTGCGTCAATTGTCTCCGTGGTGTTTCCCTCAAAAATATCCAATGTCATTATATGTGTAATACGTGACATTTAACGCATTCGACAAGATTTATTTGCAGCATTGCAAGATGGTTACGCTGTGGCGCGTTCGAGCCAATGTATGTAGGTACGTACTAATGCAAATAAGTAAATTAACGCTCCACAAACAACGGGTCTAAACTAGGCTTTTTTCTTGGGTAATGAACTCAGAACACATTTAAGTATGTTTAAGGTTTCGTTAATACCTGAAGCCTGTGCTACCTACCGCTAGCGGTGGGCAGCGGCTTGGCTTTGCCTCTCTCCCTGCCTACGTTTATCAATAGCTTAAATAAAGTCTTTTGGATCCTCTGCTTTAAATAGTCATAAAAATAACGAGTTTTCAGTGCTTAAATAATGTTTTAAAATATTTCAACACTTCGATAAGACACTTCGGAAGACACTTCGAGATATTTCAAGCTTCAGCTGTAGTAAAACTATTTTGCGAATTTAAATAAACTTTAATCTCTCTTTAACATCCTACACTTTGACAATTTTCATTAGGTTATAATTTATGGCGAGTTTTGTTCACACGTAAATTATATTTCTAATAGCTTTATTGATGCGTTATTAACTACTGTGGCGTGAAATACTATACAAATATAAATTTTAGGTTGATTGTATTTCGAAAAATATACCATTATGCACAGTAAGTAGTAAGAGTTGAAAACATTTAATTATAATGAATGACTTTAATGACGATCAAGGGTATTCGAGTTTCAAATAATACTAATAGTTTTTTAATGATAATTACAAATGTATACTTACAAATATACATGAATGCAGCGACTGTTTATAATAAATAATGTATTTATTTTACTTAGAAATTAAGTTTTTTTATTAAGTACTTATTTGTGAAGGGTCTTGTAACACAAATGAAGGATTTAGATGAGCATGGGGTGTATCCGCTAGATGATACTACGTGGAATGAAATGAGTAAGTCCTTGAACCCCAAGACTTTTATGCTTTAGACTTTAGATAGTGAGTTGACAAAGTGTAAAAATTACTGAAACTTTTAACAAATGTATGTTTTTATTAGGTCTGTATCAGAGTTCAGAGTTATCACGATTATTAAAATATTTGTATGATAAAAATGTCAATCTTATCAATAATTACTATAGAAGTTAGGGTTTGTAATAATTAAACGTAATAACAAAAATAATTTGGTTACAGATTTCTTGATTGAAAATGTATAAAACCTTGCAAAGCGGTGGAGGTTAGCCCATTATCCACTGCAGCTGCTGGCTAGTTAACTGATTTAACGGATGGAAAATTATCCTCAATAGACCTAAATGAGTAGGGACGTCACAATTCTAAGAGTGGTTCAGTACCATTTGCGTACGTTGCTAGTGGTAGGGCGTCTTGTGAGCCCACACTGGTAGGTGCCACCACCCTGCCTATTTCTGCCATGAAGGGTGAGGTAGCCGTTGTACTAAAAAACAGAGACTTAGAACTCATATGTGAAAGTGGATAGCGACATTGACATTGGGGCTCCGGTAACTATTTAACACCAGGTCGGCTATGAGCTGGTCTAACCATCTTAGTAATAAAAATCTGGTTCAGTCAGCTTGAAAATATTTCTAAATTATCTAATTTTATTTTTGGATTGCTATTAGAATTGAGTTAATTATTTTGTGAAGAAAAAGTCCCCACTCCCGTTGAATAGAAATATGTATAATATAAATAGTTTAATGCAAGCATTAAAGGTGGTTTTATTTTTAATCGATCTGATTATGGAATACCTACAAAATGGAACGTTTGATTCTCACAACGAAATAACAAAGTTCTTAATTAGTGAATGAACAGATTGAAACTGTATTGTATCGGATGTTTTATTATTAGTAACTGAAAGTTGGACATTTAGTTTAGTACAACATTTAGTATATTATTATATTGTTTGCGTTGGTAATTTTAATGAAATGTGGATTTACATTATGTGTAATTTATTGCATTTGTAAATGTCCTAAATGCGTGCCATAGCTATAACTAGTTAGCTATAGCTAGCGTATAACTATAGTATAGTATCTAAAATTGTAATTTTACCCTTAATTGTACTAAGTGCACAAAGTTATAAAAATGAAAATGTTTCAATATTCAACTCGTCGTTTATATTTTTGTAATTAAATTTTAACTTGTGATCGTGAGATTGTGACTATACACAATTTTTGCTCGATCATACATAGATACATACATACATACATACATACATATTAGATATAATTACTGCATTTAGCTATTGTTTTCTTTTACTCATCGTAGTAATGAACTTTAAATGTTAATAAGTGAAGACGTGTATAGCTGAACAAATTGAAATTGTGACTTAATAGTCATAAATAGGTACATTTATTTTATTTATTCAATAGTTGAATCATATGACAGAAAGTACTGCATACACAACCTCTCATCTAAATAAATAAACATTCATGTGTGCATAGACAAAAATAAAAAGTTAAAAAAATAGTACCATCGGAATATTTGCTTCGAAAAATATAAATAAAATTAGTAAATGTCTGCGAAAACGTTTGACACTGAACGTTATTTATGAAGATAAATGATGTTCACCCTCACCGTGCTACTTGCACGAGCATGGTCAGGGTGAATGATGAAATATTCTTTCTTTGGTTGTTGAGCTGTCACGAGAATTGTTAATGAAGCATTTGATTCAAAAGAAAAGCCGACGATTTTTCATTCATTTTCTTTTAGAATTTTATCATTCAAAACTTTTTTTTTCATTGATTTTCTTTTTTCTCCTTTCAACATTTAAAAAATTCCGCACCGAGTGCCTGCTTAAGCACATTTTAAAACTATAGCATTTGATTATCGAACACTTTATTTTTATATACTTTTTCTGTTACAATAACAATGTGCATTGTTTTTGACAAAACAATTTTATTAGATTTTACCAAAGTTGTAGGTTATTTATTCAATACTGAAGGATATTTCAAACACCATCGCTCCGCTTAAACAATATCGTGCGAATTCTTAACTAGTATTAAACTTCAAGTACACTTGGTATTATCTAATTCTACTTTATAAATAACAGTAGAACTTTGACAAAAGTAGATTTAATTTAAAGCCATCGAAAAGACGTGATATAAAAATTTAACAATTGAGGGTTCAAAATACTTTGTTTTAAATATTTCATAATGTGAGCCCTACTTTTGTCAAATTTCTTCAAGATTTTTCATTGTCATCTATTATTGCTTTGAATGTTTCTAACTAGTGACTCTACGATTATATCTAAGGATTAAATTTAACAAGACTTTCTTAAAGGAGCCCTTTAGGAATGCTATTTGTCATTTTACATAAAAGCATATTCTTATTTTTATGTATACATTTCACGGGTTGTGTAGTGTGTATGCCTGATTTGGTTTATGAAGGAAAATTTTGTGAAAGCTTTTCTATATACCGCCAGTGTACCAGTTTTCTATACAGGTCCAGAAAAAACTTTAACTGGCTCGGATTACGAAATTTAAATCCAATTACATTTACTACGCTCGACAAATACTTCAAACTCAATGTAGGTATCAAAATCGTTGAAGGAATTAAATAAATCGTAAGAAAAATATTTTCTATTATTTTCCGTAACAATCTTCGTCTGTATCTATGGAAAAATCATGTACATGACAAAATACTACTTCGTTTTAATTACTTTTGAACATTCTTATGGACTATAAGTACCTACATTTTTAATTAAATTTATTCCTTCGCCTTTGATGCCTACGACGAATAACGCTTACTCGGTGTACCGACGAAGAAATAGTCAAAGCCAACATCAAGTATTACACCGATTTGTAAGTCATCATCAAAAGTGTCGATTGAATTTTAAAGCTGATTAAAATCAAGTAAGTTAAGCTTAAACGCTTTTGTAACATACTTTCTATTCTTAAGTTTCGTACGCTGATCTTACTTACATGAGATCAAAATTTCATTAAAAATTACAAGAAATGTGATTATTATCTTAAAATAAGTAATATGTACAAAATGAAACATACCTAATAATTACTTGTTGCATTATAATTGTAATAATTATTAATAAAACAAAGACGAAAATAATTTGTACTATGAACTTGGAAGTGACTGATTTCACTTAAACTTTCAGTCCTAAATAATAAACACAAAATGAATGTCAAGTTAATTAGTTCACTTTTCTAATCACTCGTTACCGTAAGTGAATGGGTTAAAATCACTATATAGGAACAATTTATCAAGTATGTGTATAGAAAGTCGCCAAAGGTAGTTGGTATAGGACAAATGGCGCAACCTATGCAATTGTTATAAAGTAATTGCATTGTTTTTTAATTGTTATTTTACAGTGTGTTGAGATTCTATCATACGTAGCGCCCATTTGGATATTTCAACATCTTTGATAAAGTGATCTTAACAATTATCAATCATATAACCCACGTGGTTTGTTTATAGATTGCTCTTGGTACATGGTTTGGAGACTAAAGACCTAGTCGTAGACCTATAGTCTAGAGACCCTGTCCAGCTGGTGATGAGGAATACCATACCATAGAAATAATAAAAAGAAATGCCGCCGCCAATATTTTGAGGTGAACCTCAATTGGTAATATAATAATACAGTTATGCTACTCTTCGAAACGCATGAATGTTTCATGTCCGAAGCAGTTGCAGTGGTAGTGGCCACTTTATGGGCGTACAGTGCCAACTAAATTATTAGAAAAACGAGGGGCAGAAAGTCCGAGAGTAGTATTCAGAAACTAATTAAGAGGACGATGCGGTTGAGTTACACTGCTTCCCGTGTACCGGTACTGCATGATGAACAACCGGATTAATATCACAGTACGAAATTTTACTTTCGCTCTTGAGTTAATTCCCTTCGGCGGTTTTCTATAGACGACCTATAATATGCTAATAACATTTCAATTTCATCCTGTTACATTGATATTGACATAACAATTCATAATTATAATTATTAGGATAAAAGAATGAGCAAATATGTAACATGTAATATTAACCTTATTTTTTAGATTGCCCATGGAAACCACTGATCTATCATATCTATTAAAATCCTCCATGTTGCATTATTATGATGGAAGTAATGTCATACATAATATTCCGCATATTAATTACATCGCGATAAATCTTTTACCCGTCAAATTACAAGAATATAAGAAGTGAGTGAGTGCAAAAATGTTACAATTAATTCGTGCACTGTCTTTATTGAATCTTCATTTAACACGTGCTAAATCCCTAATCGTTGATTTTACTTCCGCCCGGAAGACAATTTGCTATCAGTAAATTTTAAGTAGCTAAGAAGAATCTACAACTTAACTTGTCGAACGTTACATACGATTCGAGACCTTATCTTACTAATTGTCGATACTATTATATGCAAGGAAACAATTCTATCTAATTTTAATGACTAATTATTGTAAGAATGGCGTCATTACCTGTCATTAAGCTAAACAATCAATTCGATTGGTGATGAAAAAACCTATTAAACTATTATATTTTTCTTTGTAGGCCGTGGTATTGTCAATTTGTGTTTATATTTAATTACAACTGCTGTGAGAGCTTGTGGATAATCTGGTATTTATGTCGTGCATTAATTTTACTGTTAAATTAGTGGGCGCAATATTTCACAAACTTGAAAATCTCAATCAGTTAAATATTGTTAAATCGAAAAACTCGAATGGAAAACTAAGCAAGCATGTGCTATGTCCTAAAGTATGGCTTGTAGACACGGATAGATTGTACATTCATGAAAATTGACAACATTATAGAACTAAAAATTGGGAGTCTTAGTCAAATTTAAATTATAATTGTTAATTATAAAATAAAAAATAAAATAAATAAATTTATGGAACCAAGTTCGAAAATACTGTTTTTTTTACTTCAGATATGTTTAATATACGTATATTGTTATTGCATCACCAGCGCATGTAAAATGGTTACTACTTACTCTCTAGTACAAAGTTTGAAATAGTTGAACTTTCGGAGCTTCTATCGTAATCGGTTTTGTCTTTTGGATTTTTGCCACACACTTCGATTATCGAAGGTCACATACGAAAGTTAGCTGAAGTAAGTTGCTTTGTTATTTTAGTTTTGCTTTAAAGAATATAAGTGTAAGGAAAAACGAAAACATCTAAGTTCATTCAGCCGTTTCCAAAATATACCGAACACGACACGTAGGGTAAGGTAGAGTAAGGTAGGGTGGGGATTTGGGGCAATGTTAAATTAAATAGGGATCAGTGAACAGACTTCTAAACCTAATCAAAATGTTACAGTGGGTAGAAATTTCCACAAATAAACCTATCACGTGTCTTATCATGTGAATGAAAATGTATGTAATCGATTTAAAAATTCAAATTGATGCTATAGCTTATATCGTTGCTTTGATGTTAAACACTATATGTGATCCAATAGCGATTGATCATATGTAAAAATAATGTTGAAAGGTTTCTTTCAGGAAATGTTTGCCGGCAACACGTGCGTCAAAGATGGCGAACGGGGACGGCGCAATCCACGCGAGACATCCAGGCTAAGTCCAGTGTAGTTACCTGAAAGCAAGTTTGTAATTAAACTATATTAATTTAATTTGTAATATATTAATTTAAATATTTATATTAATTTAATTTAATCCCATTCTCTCGGATCGTTTGGAGCCTCTGGGTCTGCGGAGGGACTTCGGTTCCCTCTGTATTTTGTACCGTATGTTCCATGGGGAGTGCTCTGAGGAATTGTTCGAGATGATACCAGCATCTCGTTTTTACCATCGCACCGCCCGCCACCGGAGTAGAGTTCATCCATACTACCTGGAGCCACTGCGGTCATCCACAGTGCGTTTCCAGAGATCTTTTTTGCCACGTACCATCCGGCTATGGAATGAGCTCCCCTCCACGGTGTTTCCCGAGCGCTATGACATGTCCTTCTTCAAACGAGGCTTGTGGAGAGTATTAAGCGGTAGGCAGCGGCTTGGCTCTGCCCCTGGCATTGCTGAAGTCCATGGGCGACGGTAACCACTCACCATCAGGTGGGCCGTATGGCCGTCTGCCTACAAAGGCAATAAAAAAAAAAATATATTGCTGTATTTTTTTATAAGGTGTTTTTTTTTCTTTTCTACCTAGCTGGTAGCCTTGAGAGGCTATTCCAGCGTAACCTTAACTAGTAGGTGAGTTCACGGGGCTCAAATCTGACGACGTTGCTAGCACGAACCCTACCAAGAGCCGTGCTTCGCAGAATCTACCACCGGATCGGAAACGCGACCCACTGAGAAGATCCGGCGAGAAACTCAGTGGGCCGTGTCTGAGGGTTAATTTACTCGTCGAGCCCTTCGTCGCAAGCGACGGGTTCGACGAGAACGGTGACCTGTGCTTGAAGTACCTAGAAGCACCGTTAGTGGATCGGGAGGATCCGAGATGACGTGTTTTGGGCGACGTCGACTGCTTTCCATTCTTTCGGATCGGAGGATCGGGAATGGGTGTATAAGGTGTAAATAATGCCGAAGGGAATAAAGTTGAAATCCTGTCAGGGTAATTAGCCACTGTTTTTTATTTATAATTAGAGTGTCGTACTTTTTTTTTTTTGGGGATGGAGGGCGGGGCTTGTTGGAGTCGAACTGACTAAAGCCTCTTGTCGCTCAACAACCCACATCCGAATCTCGCATGACACAGAAGTCATGAAAAGGCAAAGGGGGGAAAGTGAACCGTCTAGTCCGGAGCACATCTCTCCCATCATCCTCCCCCTCGGGACGCCGGAACGGCGGTCAGAGTGTCGGTCTAGAATCACACTAAACCATCTCTTTCCGTGGGTGTCGTTAAAAGCGACAAAGTGATTCATCGGAGGACGGGCAACGGCGTTCTCTGAGTGGTACCGGCGTCCTGTGATCACCGATCGGCATTTGCTATTGATAGAGCGTATTATAAGGCCGCGCGGGTAGGTACCACCCTCCTGTACACTTCTGCATCGAAGGAGATAAGCGTTCCGGTTTGAATGATGTGATATCCGTTATATAACACACTAGCTATTGCCCGCGACTTCGTCCGCGTGGAATTCAAAAAGAATGCTTTATTTTAGCACAAATTTGGTTAGCATAAAAAACGTTATAATAAGTCAGCCTTGACATATAGACATATGCTGTCGCGGTTTTTTTTCAGATCCTTTAAAGGGCAACAACTCTGTTATAAATTATTTTAGCGAAACTTTAACCGTTTCTGCAGCGCACGCAGCGGAAGCTCTCAAAATGGAAAAAAACCCAATTTTGAAACATTATTTATTGGTACTCCGCTTGTATTGGTTTTAGCGTGATGTTATAGCCTTCCTCGATAAATGGGTTACCTAACACTGAAAGAATTTTTCAAATCGGACCAGTAGTTCCTGAGATTAGCGTGTTCAAACAAACAAACTTGTCAGCTTTATAATATTAGTATAGATATATAGGTATAATACAAGCGGCCCACTCCGGCTCCGCTTGGGTCTTGAACAAAAATTTCAACGATATTTGACGTTGTTTTATTTTTTTAAATAAAAGAACACTTATTGCGGCATAACTATAATAGTTAGACATAATATGCTGTCGCGATACTTTTTGTAAATAATAATATGTTCTACAAAGTCGTAGTACATTATTTTATTCTATTATCAATAGTTTTCGCAGGGCACGCGATGTAAAGAATATTTAAGGTAATTTTTTACACCTTGGATTACATTATTGGAGTTTTAGTGAGGATCCCTAATTTTTTCAAAAAAGATTATAGCCTATGTCACTCGGGAATAGTGTAGCTTCCAAACAGTAAATGAATTTTTCAAATCGGTTCAGTAGCTTTGGAGCCTATTCAATACAAACAAACAAACAAACAAACAAATCTTTCCTCTTTATAATATTAGTATAGATTTGAGACTTCGACTTTAACTGTTTCATTGATGGCGGCTTTTATGTAGCCATATTCACAAGGTTACACTAGGTGGGCAGTGAGCTCGGTCGCCCAAATGGTACAAAAAATTCATGCTCGGATTTATCTGTGATACCTTCGAAAATCTTGATATTAGATTAAATTAAAATTTAATTTGTTGAAATTAGAACAGACCTGGTGCATGGAGTAGACCGCTAGCACTACGAGTACGTGCATGATGTTGTGCGAGTTGAGGCATCGGTCTACTGAGCCCGGGAACCACTTCTCCGGGATATGAAGCGCGCCGATTACCCCACCACCCAGAGACACCGCATCCTGAAACGTATCGTTATTCGTATATTACAGAATCTTCGAACTCAAATCCTGAAGTGACTTACGGTCATGTTTTATACCAAAATAGGTATTTTTGTATTTAGTCAATCAATAGGTGTCTAGGTGTACTAAACTTAACTTAACATTCACGAATTATAAGGCTGAAAAAAATATTATTAGATTACTATTTATTTATTACTATTTATTAATGTTAATAATGAGAAAAACAAATTCATTTTATCCACGGAATATTTCCATTCTCTTATGTTTATGAAATATTATGGTAGCTATTTTTATGAGCAACTAAAGCAATATCCTATGGAATGTCATGGTAGAAGATTCGTTACGATAAAGTTTAAAACGCTCGAAAGGCAAAGCAGTGAAAAATTTATAAATATAATGTATACATTTGCTCAAATATATATATATGAGCTTTATTCAGCTTTGTATTTATTTACAATTAAAAAATACCAACCTAACTATCGATGTCTTGAAAAACTTTGCACTATACTATTTTTTCGGCTTTATAGATATATTTTAATTGCTGAAATGAGTGGACGAGCTCTCGTCCATCTTGTGTTAAGTTGTTACCGGAGCCCACAGACATCAACAACGTAAATGCCGCCACTCACCTTGATTAGTGAGTACTAATGTCTCAGATTTTACAGTACAACCTTTTAAAATCAAATGCATTACCACTTCACGGCAGAAACAGACCTGGTTGTGCTAACTACCCGTGTGGGCTCACAAGACGTCCTACCACCAGTAAATAAATAATAGTTATTTAAATTGTAAGTTTAAGGGCTACAACACTGAAACCCTATAATTATAAACTCATTACTGCATTGCGACAGGATCTGGTCGTTGGTGCGTATTTCTAATCCAATTTTATGTACGCACTTCATTATTAACGTTAACATTACATTAATATTCACAAGTAGAAGATTTTTTAAGTTTCATAAAATAATACAAAATTAGAATTATAGTTATTTCCTGGGACTGGTCTATAAGATGTTTAGTTGATTCCGCAAGTGCGTTCGCCTTCTATATTGTGTCCTCACAAATACTTTAAAATAAATAAGTATTATATATCTTAACAGCAAGTAGGAAAACGTCGCGGCGTTGCTTAGCTGATAGTACCGCGTAAATTAAATTTACTGAATTTTTCAGTCAGACAAAAACACTGAATATTTTGTAAGGGTTTTTCAGATTTATATAGTATAGCCACTATTAACATAAAGAAGTTAAATGTATATTAGCTTCAATTCAAAACTTCATCAAAATACTTGCGTTATCTTTTGATTCTCTTAATATGTCTAAGATGAAAATTAATAAGATTATAATATAAATAATACGCTTGATTTACCACGTGATAAAAATATTCTAAAATGACAAGACGAAACTTTAGATCAAACGCGACCCTACGTTGGGACCTCCGTCATTTGGCCTCGAGCCAACCTATCCATTGTGCTGCGATGAAAAGGATCTTGGATTAATTTAAGTATTCACTGTATTCAAAGTCTAGCACCATTTTAATTATTGTATTTTATAATATATTTACAATACATTATGGTTATATTAATAGTTTGTTGAAATTACTTGTTGACTTTGTGAAATGAAGAAACAACAACATTTAATTTCACAGTATTACTTCAATTAGATCAATCGCGTCGTACCTACTGTACGGCACAATAATATAATTATATATATATTTTATTGCTTAGATGGGTGTACGAGCTCACAGTCTACCTGGTTACTGGAGCCCATAGATATTTACAACGTAAATGCGCCATCCACCTTGAGATGTAAGTTCTAAGGCCTCAGTATAGTTACAACGCAACAGCTGCCCCACCCTTCAAGCCGAAACGCTTTACTGTTTCAGGGTAGAAATAGGCAGGGTGGTGGTACCTACCAGCGCGGACTCACAAGAGTTCCTACCACCAGTAATTACGCAAATTATAATTTTGTGGCTTTGATTTTTATTACCCGATGTTATTCCTTCAGCGTGGAAGTCGATCGTGAACATCTGTTGAGTACGTATTTCATTAGAAAAATTGGTACCTGCCTGCGCCTAATCGTCGTGGCCTACAGGATAAGACGTCCGGTGCATTCGTATCTAGCGATGCAATGATATTCGGATCCCGCAGGCGGGTGCCGCAACAGTATACAACAAAATAAATCTTACAAACCGGCTTCATCAAACAAAAAATATACTCCAAACTCGCCCTGAACCTATTCTTATTTCAGGGACAAAAATTGATTCGGTTCAAAGAGATATTTGGTGTATATAATTTTCAGATTTATCTAGGTAAAGACGTAATAGATTAAATAATAGTCGGAAACTGACTTGTTCGTTAGGAGGTTTTAGATGGAAACATCAACAATAGCGTTTATTATATCGTTTTCATTGGATCTGCACTCCATTACTGCAGCTAAGTGAATTTATTAACGGATTAAGGATATGAAATGAGGGTTGTTCCCCGAGGGGAATCGAGGCGAATGACACTGAACAGTCTTGGAAGGTAGACGTCGAGCAAAATAAAAATGGCCCTCGAAATTTTATTTAAACATTGACGTACATAAGTAATTATTTTTGTAATTTTTAGAAAGTAATTTATAATACTGTATTAATTACTTAACTCAATCCATTATTCTAGTAATGGTTTTCCTATAAACGAACCAAGAAATACTATAATACTATTGAAAAAAACTATTTTTTATTGATTGAATTTTAGCTTTTATTGACTAAAGCTCGTCAACAACTACATACGCCCAAAAAATATGTGTATTCGTTGATAAATAAAGGAGTAAATGGTTTTTTAAAGATATTATTGCCTGTTAATGAGATCTTTAAAGAAATGCTAGTGAGCTATATTGTTTTTTCAAATCGATACTTTGCTATGCGGCTTCACTCACCTGAAGATAGAAAAAAGTCGATCCCTCTGAAATGGTATATTTATTTTTTACCCCTGACTGCATATATGCAAAATTGCATGATGATTGGTTGAGTAATTTAGATGAGAGAGCGTAACAAAGAAATACAACTCACATTAACATTAATAATATCGATCGATGTATAATACGATGTGCGTTTCGAATTTACCTACTTTTAGAAGTGCAGAAATTCTAATAATGACGAATTAGAGGATGTAATTTTTACATCACATACTTGCAAAAATACATGCAGTATAGCATGAGGGTTCCCTCCTCCAAGTCTCGCAGCCCGGGCCCCCGCCAGTAGTAACCGCATGCAGAATGGCGCCGCGAAGCATAATCGCCGTTCCCACGGAGACCACGCTCTCATCGCCTGAAAACCATTAATAATTAGAATACATATTTATAATCACACAAACCCTCGAACACGTTTCGGAAACGATACTTGATGACAATACTGGTGATACCTAACACACAAAAAGTATATCAGATTTATTTTTAAAATAAAGTTTTTAAAGAGTTCTTTTGGACAATTGGAGTTCAGGAATAGCTCGGTGATATCTCGATTTCGTTGAAGCCAGGATCGTTTCGAGCTGTTGAGATACTTAACTTAGGACTCTTATGCAAATAGGGTACCTTTACACCCTGTGTAGCTAGAAAATGCAAAATATAAGGAGTGAGAAGAACAAACGTCCGTCTGGTGTAGTGGTAAGTGACATGGTCACTACACTAGGGGGTGGCGGGTTCGAATCCCGCCAAGAGAAGATATTTGTATGATAAATATAAATATCTTTTCCAGGGTTATGGATGTATATTAAATATATGTATGTGTATAATAAAAATCTTACATTTATTTCCGATATCTGGTACCTGTAACACAAGTTCTTTACGAACTTATCACGGGACCAGTTAACGTGGCGTGATTGTTAGTAAAATATTTATATTTATTTATATTATATACATTAAAAAAAAACATATTTTTTTATTGTTAAGCAACAATTCATCCATTATTATTTACCAAATTCTCGTGCCATTTAAATAAATATCAATTCAAATAAATAAATATCAAGTCTTCAAAATAACTTGATAAACAGCTTCAAATAATTAATAGTATTCGGTACGGAAAAACCCAGCAATTTGTAAATCCTTGATCCTTTTCTATCGTAACATGCATCGATCAATAAATACATTAGCGTAACGTCATTCTATTCACACTCGCTTACTAAATTAGGTGTATGTAAAGTATTAATGAAATTAATATAACCATTACTTACCAAGTTCACTTTAAATTATTGTTTTTAGAAATTCCTTTACGAGCTTTATTTTTGGACTATTTTTTTACTGGTGGTAGGACGTCTTGTGAGTCCGCAGGGTAGGTACCACCACCTTGCCTATTTCTGCCGTGAAGCAGTAATGCGTTTCGGTTTGAAGGGCGGGGCAGCTGCTGTAACTATACTGAGACCTCAGAACTTATATCTCAAGGTGGGTGGCGCATTTACGTCGTAGATGTCTATGGGCTCCAGTAACCATTTAGCACCAGGTGGGCTGTGAGCTCGTCCACCCATCTAAGCAATAAATAAAATAAAGACCTGATTGCGGCTGAGCTGATAACATCCATGAGGCTGATGCTTCAATTATATTTAATAGTAAAACGGGTCTTAAAATAACAACAATAGTTTCTTAATTGTGTGATGGTATTCCTTTTGTATATACCGAAAGGTAAGTAGCTACGATGGAATGAATAGAGCAATAAGTGCCATGTGTGAAGTCGCAATTGCTTCGTCCATTTTAGTAAAGGGATATTCTGACTAGTACAATATTATAGTACTTACATTAAACTTACTAATAGTAATAATATAGACAATTTTTTTTTGATAAATATAAATAAATATCCCTCTATGAACACGGGGAATTTAATTGTTTGTAATTTTGAATAAACGTGACATTCGTAGATGAAAGAGCCTATTTTATCCCTAACCCAAACTCGTGACTTTATAGTATTGTGAAATTTTCATTGCCGTAATTATATTTAGTGGTGCGTCATCGACGATATTCATCGTAGTCAAAGAGCTCGCGATCCATGTTCCACGTACTAAATGCTTAATGGAGATGTACAAAAAAATGTTTCACCTTATATAGACCGAGAAGACATCCTAGACTGTATACAGCAAGAGCGGCATATCGCAGTAGCGTTGGTGCACAATAAACAGTTGCAGTGACCATTGGTATGGCTCCTGTAAATTAAAAACAATATTTACTTATATTTTACTGATTTACAAATTAATTCTGTTGAAACTGGGAGTCAGGTTTAGTCAACCAACAAAGGCTTCAATTGAGATGCAGTATTGATATGTGCACCGCACAAGGACATTTGCAGTCATCTGTCCGTAGTTATATTCTTTCTTCTTAAACTAACTAATACCAGGTAGGTTCTAAGTTTTTCTGCCCATATACGCCTTATATCTTAAGATGATTCACAATATAGGGATTTGTGAGTTCCAGTAATCACTTTTAAGCAGCACTTCATTATATGTAGGCGGTGTGCTCTTCCAACTGTTTTACGTCAACAAAACAAATGAACTGTATTAAGAAGTCAATTCAACATTTGGAATACAAATCGAGTTCATTTAGTAACATTGAATTCTCTTTGTAAAACAAATTTTACTCACGATTCAGTCTTATCGTACAAAAGCATCTTGAATGGAAATTGTGGTACCATAAATAAACAAAAGATTTCGACGCAGAAACAGAGCTCACAAGTAATCTGCAGAGAAAAAGTTCTAGAACAGTGCTGCCGAGAAACATTCCGAAGTTGTTGTTATGTATGTAGGTTATTTTTTACTGCTTGGCTAAGTGTTATCCGGGGTGAAGTTTAGTACCCACTGAGAAACGACAATGGTTTTTTTAGCTGAAACACAAACCTAGTAATTACAGTTACACAGTGTCAGTACAATGAGCTTCGAGCTCTCTCTATGCATAAAGTTTATTACCTATATAATACATTACATTAATATTCCAGGACATAACACTTTATTACATCTTATAGCATGTAATTTCCGTTTTATTAAGTTTGAAATTATAACGGTGCCAAAGAAGTGTTTACCCCAAAAATGGTGCAGCTGTTTCGTCATTTACCCAAGCAAGAATATTTGAGTACGAACTTATATGTATAAGCTCTATGGTTAATTCAAATTGTATTACATTTAAAGCTAATTTAAATAATTGGAGTCTTCTTCATTCTAATAAAAAATAAGAAAGTAGTAACAATAGTCGTGTGTCGTCAGATTTTTTTTATGTTTCTTATTAACTTAAGGGGAAAATTTAAACAAAAGCGGAAATTTTCAACTCGAAGATAGGCCAGCTCACGCCGGTCTAAATGACCCAGAATACTTTCCTTGAAAAACAAAAAAACTTGCAATTTAAAATAACAGGGTTTTCGTTTTTACGAATTAAAATCATGAGTAAAATTGCATTAGTTTGTTGCGCTTGTATTGCATTGTTTTCCTATTGCCTACGCTGTTAACAACTAAATCAGGGGTTAAAAAAAAGTCTCATTATTGGCTAATGTTTCTTTAAATAGTTTAGTTGGGCGGGCGTGCTCACGGCCCGTCTTGTGTAACCAGTACCCACAGACATCAACAACGCAAATGCCGTCACTCACCTTGGGATATGAGTTCTAAGTTTCAGTTTTACAGTACAAATGCTGAAGGCTGCTCGACCCTTCAAAACGAATCGCATTACTGCTTCAATGCAGAAATAGGCAGAGTGGTGGTACCTACCCGTACGGGCTCACAAGACAGCCTACAACCAGTAAAAGTGCTCTGAGGAATTGTTCGAGATGATACCGGCATCTCGTTTTTACCATCGCATCGCCCGCCACCGGAGTAGAGTTCATCCGTACTACCTGGAGCCACTGCGGTCATCCACAGTGCGTTTCCAGAGGTCTTTTTTGCCACGTACCATCCGGCTATGGAATGAGCTCCCTTCCACGGTGTTTTCCGAGCGCTATGACATGTCCTTCTTCAAACGAGGCTTGTGGAGAGTATTAAGCGGTAGGCAGCGGCTTGGCTCTGCCCCTGGCATTGCTGAAGTCCATGGGCAACGGTAACCACTCACCATCAGGTGGGCCGTATGCTCGTCTGCCTACAAGGGCATTAAAAAAAAAAGTTACTGTTGCTTATGGAGGCAATATCAGGAAAGTACGCCGCTACCTTATTAAAAGAAACTTGAAACTGTGTTTAAAGATGGACATTTTATATGTTACGTTTGGAGAATTTATTGGAAATGGGTTCATTCTAGAGTCGGACGTGGTATCTGGTAATTGTTTTAGCTTATAATCTGCCTATTTTCATAGATTGTCCTGTTATTGCTCATCGAGATCCCCTAGTTCAAGACACGGTAAGATTATGTATTAAATTTTAAGGCGCAGACCATCGCATTGTTCTGGAATCTAGATTGTAACTTTTTATCATTAGTGGCCCCACAGTCCTTGGATGCCAATAAACCACGGAATTTCGGAATGATGAATACGTATTTAACGACTGGCCTTTCCTTTTGCTCGCTCGAGTTTTTGTAATAAATCATTATTAGACTCGGTATATTGACCGATGGAGTAGGGAATTTTCTATATTGTGGAAAATACCGATAAATGTATCTTAATGTGTTATTAATAGAAAAAAATAATGGAAAACATTGTACATAGTGCATTCATTGCCAATAAGAATATAATATTAAACACAGTGTAAAACTGTAACATTTTTTTTTGTGTTTGCCTTCTGTCGGTCTCAGTTAATTTAGTTATTGAAAAGTAGTAACACTGCTACGATGTTATTAAATGGCTTATGTATTAATACTATCTTAAAATTCACAATAGGAATGGGCCTTAAACAGAGAATATGAGTAGGTTACATCAGTCTCTTCTATCAACTGTTATACTATTATGTTAGACTGTTAGACTGTGTTGAGTACTATTTGAACAACCACGTTCCTTACTCAACTAATTTCCCCTTGATTTTTTTTTTCATTGAGAATTCGGGTTAGGTATAATTAATTGTGAACTGCATGTGCTGGTACCATCTTTTGGCCTATTTCTGCATTGTGGTTCGAAAGATAGGACAGCCACGTTCCCGCGGAGACAGGCGTCATTGGTAGTCGACTATCACCTCGACGCCCAGTCGGTTGGACGTTTTCGGGGTGGCGCCGCGTGTCTGGTTGTACGGTTGACCGCGGGTACCCCCTACTCTGACCGGGTTCTGATCCCGGGCGGAGATCGGACGTCGGGTGTAATAGTGCAGGGGAGTCGATTAGTGCGGTAGGGCCCTAAATTCCTTGGGTCCGCGTCTGCTCCCAACACCTGCAGATCGTCAAGTCCCACATCCCCGCGCGCCCCCTAGGCGCGGGGACCTCGTAGTAGGTTCGGCACCGACCAGAAAAAAAAAACACGTTCAATCGTCGATGATTGTCGATGATCCGATAACCGTTTGGGGGAAAATCTCTTTGTTATTCATTTTAGAAACACAATTCTTATACGAACTCTCTTACGTCCTTAGCATAATCTGCATAATGTTTTCGCAAATAAAATTATCCTATCTAAAAAGTCTGTAAATATTTTCAACAGATCCTAAAAGAGAAAAAGTGAATGTTCAGAAAATATGCAGACTAAAAAAGTGATTTAGTTTCTCGTTTAAAAGTTTTGTACAAGTGTACACGTTTGTTTTTTCGATTAGCAAAAATGACTTCCATGTCCCACCAATCTGATGAACTTCACTAAGCTTCGTAAACTTATTAAGTGCTTTGCCTAGAGCCCCACCGCTTTGTCAAGTAGCACTACTGTTGCCTTACATCCTTACTAATTTATGCCACCTAAAATGTAAATACTGTTTGTATTTAAGCCGAACTTAATCGCATCTAAAATCTAATTATGCATTTGTACACAATACAATGATCTTTCGATATTTGTGCTGAAAAATCAATCCGCAATAATAAACAAATGCATAAAAATACTTTTGACTTGCACTGTCACTTTTAGGTGGTGATTATATTCATTACCGACAAGAGAAAAGGCTTATAAAATACTAATTAAGGAATGATTAAGGATCACAAAACGCAACGATCTCACAACTATCGACAATTTAAAAAAAAAAAAGATTGAAAAAACACATGCAATGAGTCAGAATCGTTAAAACCCCTGAATCACCGATGCAGTTTTACGATTATTTGTAGTAAATGTTGCCTAAAGGTTAACGTATTAACCGTTTATCGTTCTGACGAGGCACATTTAGGGCCAAAACGTATTAAACGGAGCGTGAGTTACGTTGTCAGACGCAGTCGGCAGTCTACCGTACAACTTAACGCATATTTACCCACACGTCACTGGCATCTGTTCGATTGTGGAGCTAATCAAAACCTTATAAACTACACAAAGTGGTCAAACCAGCTAAGCCCGAAATTACGCGAAGCATAAAAGTCGTTTTAACGATTTAGTTACAGCAAATTACGACCACAACTAATTTTATGTTGCAATTCATTGCGATTGGATGCTGACTTGGGTAGTGTAAATGTATTCGGAATTATATATTTATCTAGATGTTATTGCTTAGATGGGTGGGTTAGATCACGGCCCACTTGGTGCTAAGTTTTCACCGGAGCACATAAACGTCAACAACATAAATGGAATCAATCACCTTGAGACATGAGCTACCTGACCTAAGTCTCAGTTTTACAGTACAACGGCTGCTTCACGCGAGAAATAGGTAGGGTAGTGGTACCTGCCCGTACTGGTTCACAAGTCGCCTTACCGTCAGTAGTTTTGGTGAGTTTGATTTTTAAAACGAAAACGATGTTATTCCTTTGCTACGGTAGTCTCATGTATTTCATTAGATAAATCGGTACCTGCTTATGGCATTCGAACATTGGCTCACTCGCGTTACTCGATACGAATACACTTAAATTCTGTGCATATTTAAAAAAAAACTATGCATCTATGCAAAAATCTAACCGTTTAGTAAAACAGCAACCAAATTCCATAATCTCGTAGCCTGAATGGCGCCGTCCATCGAAAAATCCAAAATGCGTTGTAAAAATAGATATAACGTAACCTTTAAAATACAACTTGACCTAATATAAAGCCGAGCAGCGGCTTGGCTCTGCCCCTGGCATTCCTGAAGTCAATGGGCGACGGTAACCACTCACCATCAGGTGGGCCGTATGCTCGTCTGCCTACAAGGGCTATAAA